CATGTTGTGACCCAACCATAAAATTATTTTCGTTGCTACTTCATAACTGTAATGCTGCTACTGCTATGAATCATCATGTGAATATCTGATCTGCAGGATGGTCTTAGGCGACCCCTGTGAAAGGGTCGTTTGACTGCCAAAGGGGTCGCGACCCATAGGTTGAGAACCGCTGGTTTGCACCTTTTCCCGGGGCACAGCTGCTTCTCCCCTCCACCGCTGCCTCCGGGGCTAATGACACCCTGTCTCCCCGACCTCCCGACCTCCCGGGTCTCTTCTCTGACCGCCCGCCTCCTGGAACCCCCCAAGGCGCTGTCACCGTCCCCGTGGCAATGGCCACCCCATCCCAGGAAGAGGCCGGGGCCTAGTTTATTCCAAATTTTATCGTCTCTTTAATTTAAATTCTTTGAATAATTAATTCTCTATCTCGTGTGGACTAGGGGGTGGCCCGGAATGCGGGTCCTCGGTCGGGACTGGGGTCGGAGACCGAGTTCTGTACAGTGTCCCCGCCCTTTTCCCAGGAGGAGGGCCCGGTGAGGGCAGGAGGAACGAGCAACACCGGGCCCCTGGGAGCCCAGCTGGGTGAGGAGACACCGCAGGCCTGGGAAGGGGAAGGATGCTGGGCATGGTGGAAGCAAGGAGGGCAGGGCTGGTACCAGAGGCCTGGGGTGCGAGTGGGGGTCTGCAGGAGGGCGGAGGAGGCACACGCAGAAGCACGCTGCCCACCCCAGGCCTGGTGAGGGGGGCCCGGGGCGGATCACCGCTTGAAGCGGTAGGTGATGGGCAGCAGCAGCTTGCTCTTCTTGAGGGCCTGCACCTTCTTGAGCGTCTCGTCGTCCAGGGCCAGGAAGCAGCGGCGCGAGTACTCGAGCAGCCGCTCCTTGGAGGGGTCGAACTCGCCCACCTCGGCCAGCTTCTCGGGCGCCACGATGAGCAGCTCGGCGATAGGCGTGGTCAGCGCCACGGTGTTGCGGTCCACGCGGTGGTGCTCGAAGGCCCGCGACATGCTCTTGAGCTTCTGGAAGGTGCCCAGGATCTTCTTGTAGCGGCAGAGGACGCCGTCCGCGTCCTTCACTGCGGGGCCAAGGGGAGGGGGGCGCTGAGAGGCTGGCATTGGGGGGCCGGTGAGGACAAGAGACAGATGGGACCAGGGCCCAGGCAGAGCAGAGGGAGACGGGAAGACACGGGTGAGGAGCCTCATGCAGGAACGGCCAGGACAACAGGGCAGAGGCGACCGGAATTAGAGCAGGGAATTGGAAATTAGATATATAAGTAGGGTGAAATTGAAACGGAGTAAAAAGAAGGAATAGGGAAAATCTAAAGCAGGAATAGGATTAGAGAAAGAGGACTACAAAAGGGGAAAAGTGCGGGAGAGAGTTTTGGCATAAAGGTAAAGTTGATCGCCCTCAGCCCGCCTGGGCCCCAGCTTCACCCGGCAGTGGTCCTCTGGGGAGAGGTGGGGAGAAAGGGATGCAGGTGACCTTCAGGACCAGGAGGGAGGCGGCGGCAAGGGGGAGGGGGGGCAGCTGTCACATCACACAGGTCCCCAGATGCTGAGGTCCCTACCTGGACGGCTGGATACAGGACAGTCCACTGGGCTTTGGGGACAGAAGTGGGTGGCGCTTGGGTGAGGATGCTCGGCTGACTCCTACACTTGGTGGTGAGGGGTCTGGGGGACAGCCAGCGCTGGGCTGGGGGCCTCGGGGAGGTCTGAGACTATGTGGGGTTTAGGACAAGGGTCTTCCTGGGGTCCTAATGGGACCTCCGGAAGAGAGCAGTCCGGGCACCCTGGAGGCAGGCAAGGCCTTGTCCGGGTGGGGGGTTAAGACCTTGAGCAAAATCTCCAGCTCTGGGTCAGGTGGGCTGGCATGGCAGGCCCTGCCTCCCCCTGCGGGAGGGAGTGCTGAGGCTCTAGGCCGCCCCCAGGAGATCAGCTGGGGGAGGTCCGTGTTGGGGTTCCCCCTGGGCTCGGCCATCCTGGAAGGCTCCCATGTTGTGGGGAGAGCAGTAGTCCCAGCACCCCAGGGTCAAGGTGGTTCCAGAGCACAGGGGTCCCCAATAACACCCATCGTGGGAAAAAGTGGGCCGTTGCCCAGGCTGTGGTGGAATCACAGAGAGGGAAGTGGGAGCTTGAATGGGAGCCAGCTGGGGGCTGCATACCCAGAAGGGGGGCATACAGGAGGGGTTCTCCAAATCGCTGCTAACAATAGCTGAGCGCCGACCTGGGGACCAGGAGGTCACGGTTTGATCCCCGTAAGGGCACATGCCTGGGTTGCGGGCTCGATCCCCAGTGGGGTGTGCAGGAGGCAGCCGATCAGTGATTCTCTCTCATCGTTAATGTTTCTCTCTCTCCCTCTCTCTGAAATCAATAAAAACATTTTAAAAGATGAAACGATTTGGCAAAAGAAAGCCCTGAACCTGGGGGAAGGGATGGGGCCCAGGGTCCTGCTGATCCGCGGAAGCAGGAAGGAAGCTGGGGTCCGGGAGGCACCACGACCTAAGCAGAAGGTAGAGGCCGGTCCCCAGGGGCCACCAGAGCAGGAGTGTGGGCGCCAGGGCCGGCCGGGGCCTGGGCCCAGCAGTGGGTGGAGAGGGCGCTGCTCCGGCGCCTCACCTGCGTCCATGCGCGCAGAGGAGATGAACTTGTCCAG